AAATGAAACAGAAGAGAATGAAAAGGCTTGTGGTGGGAAGTCACTAGTGATGAGGCAAAAACATCAATCGGTTTGATTCGCAATAATCCACAGAGCAGCTAGTCGTTGTACAGACAGTCATGTGAACACAGCATTGTGAGTGTGAGCGCACTGTGAGCAGGAAGACAGGAAGAGAAGTAGAGGCATGGGAATGAGGATGTCAGTTCCTCAAAAACACATGACCCAGTGCTGTATAATCTGATGCATTGTTGATGCATCTCTGACGTGCCTCTATATATATGTGTGTGTTGGGGGTATATAGCACCTTCTGTCCTTAATATAGTGTACACACTGTATGTCCAGTAAGGAGCCAGTTGGGATTTAGCCAGTGAGCGAGTGCGCTGAAGCATGTGGCATGATATTTGCTTGATGATGTAGAATGTTTGGATTAGCAGAAGTGGTTTCAGGCGGAACCAGATGGTGTGAGACTGATGAGATGGCAGCGTGTGTAAGACCGTGTGCTGATCAGTGTCGAGCATGGCTGAGACAATGGAGGCAGAAAGTCTTACCATATGTAATATTTGGGAACCATGCCACTTCCTTATCTGTAATAAAAAAGGAAAGAGAGAGAAAGAGAGTGTGTGTATGTTTACTGGCAGTTTCAATATTCAGTACAATTGAAAATAAATAAATAAATAAAATAAAAGTGCTACAAGTTGCCACTGGCTGGCATCATTTAAAAAAAATAAGGAATAAAAACATGACACGCAATGCCGTTATAGGAAAACAATCACCGATCGTGTGGTGTGATCTCTCTGTGATCTCTCTCGCCAAGTTTTCCTATAACAGCGCACCCCAAAGTGTTTTATTCCACTCACACCACAGCAGTGTGCCAAAATACGTATCGTTCTGTGATGTATTAAAGAACATGTCACACACGTCCAACAAGTTACTTCCTGTTATCACTTCTGTTCTAGAGCTATAAACATTTCTAAACTTTACAAGTCTCTTTATTTTACCGTCTCTTGAAGTTCAGTAGACAAAACAACAATAGACGACCTGTCAAGTGAACACGAAACCGCAAGAGGCAAAGTGGGAAAACTTGGACACTTTGGCACTGACGCTGGAGACAGACTCCTTCCAAAAATCTCCTCACAGAAAACTTTACTGTTATAACAATAACACTTCTTTTGTTTTTTGTTTTTTATATATAAATTCATTTATTTCGAGTGTCCACCAAACAAGTTCCTTTGAATGAGCTGTTACTATAGAAACATATATATATATATATATATATATATATATATATATATGTATATATATATATATATATATATATATATATATGAATGAACTGGTGCATTTGTACATTTAGTGTTTGAATAAATCTGTGTTTGTCCTTGCAGCCTGCACTGAAGTTGCTGACCAATCAGAATTCAACATTTCAATTCCTCCGTGGTACAAGGATCATCAAATAGCATTTGCGGAATTTAACTTGCAAATAGTTACCTGATTAGCTCGGATCGGACTTTATGAGACAGTTGATTTGTTATTTTTTTGGCATATACGGCATATTGAATGACCATAACCTTTCATTCCAGTGGGACATATTGGGAACTCCTCCTTGCTGATTTCTCAAGAAACGTTGCACAATAACGATCCGTCACAAGTCCGACTTACAATAAAACGTTTGGGTTCCGTGGTAAAACATCTTAAGCAGCTAATTTGGTTTATACATCGTACACGGGAACGAGGGTTCTTTACTGAGCCGTGTACTTTCAGGAACTTCCAGCCTTGTTGACTGCCAGTAATCAGGTAAGGTTTGTCTCTGTATTAGTAGAAGAAAGGATCATTTGTTCGTGAGCTTTACACTCACTCTGATATTTCAGCTAGAGATCCTTTATGTTCAAATCATTACAAGCCATTGACATTTTCTAGTAAAACCGGAACAGCACTAAACATATTGCTAGAACACAAAGCTTTATGGGCTCATCTGAGTTTTTCCAGAGTCTGATTTCAGTCACCGTTGCCTTTCCGTAATCTCGTTTGCACTCAGAATTGAACTTTTCTTTCGAATCCCATATCACTTGTGAGCTGGAGACATTTTATAGGCTCCTGATATTTACCCAAGTGACTTCAAGCTAAATCTATTTTCCTACTGAAGAAAAAAAAATAATCAAACACCCCCCCAGAGCTCATAATCTTAACACTTATGCTTGGTCTTATGAAATATTCTCCACCCAGCTACAATTAGCGTCACCACCGCTTTCTCAGAAAAGGCAAGGCTTTATTCGACTAGTGGCTTTCGCAACATGATGCACTCGGAAACACGTACGCTCACCTGTTTATTAGGAACTCCTGTGTACGTGTTCATTCATGCACGTATCCAATCAGCCAATCATGTGGCAGCAGTACGAGATATCGTGTAGATACAGGTCAAGAGCTTCAGTCACGTCGGACATCAGATAAATGTGATCTCACTGGCATGGTTGGTGGGGCCAGATGGGCTGCTTTGAGTGTTTCAGAAACGGCTGATCTTCTGGGATTTTCACGCCAGTCTCTCCACAGAATGGTGTGCAAAACAAAACAAAAACAAAACAAAAAACCATCCAGGGAGCAGCAGATCTTCGGGTTGAAACGCCTTATTGATGAGAGATGTCTAAAGGGTTTCAGCTAACAGGAAGGCCACGGTTACTCAAATAACCACTCTTTACAACCAAAATCTCACAATTTGTCGAAGCTTGAGGCAGATGAGCTACAACCGCAGAAGACGACATCAAGTTCCAGTCTTCTGGACAATTTCTGAAATAGCCAAACCAACAACCATGCCACGGTCAAAGTCACCGAGATAACATTCTAATGTTTGATGTGAACCTTACCTGAAGCTCTTGACCTGTATCTGCATGAGAGCATACATTGTGCTGCTGCAACATGACTGGCTGATTGGATAATTGCATGAATGAGCAGGGTGTATAAATATATGGATTGGTGTATATATAAATGTTGCACGGATGTACCAGTATGAGAGCACATACTGTGTATGATCTAAACTGAGTAGTGCGTTCAGGTGAATGAGATTTCTCACCAGACACCGTCACACTGAGTGTGTAGCTGTAGACAGGATTGCTGCTTCGGCCGTCCACAGTAATGTTGCAGGTGTACGTGCCGCTGTCTCTGGCGGTGACACGGGGCAGTTTGGTGAGCAGGGTGCCTGCCGACGACACGTCGGTGAGTAACGGGGAACCGGTGCGTGAGAGCCACGTCCCACCCGATACGGCGTAGGAGGGAGATACTTCAGCTTTCAACCTCGCAGTGCTGTCAATGGGAATGACAGAAGCTGGAGCTAAGGACACTGACAACACACACACACACACACACAGATATTGTAGATGAGCTTTCAACTGAAATATTTGTAACATTAACGTGTAGTAGTCAGTACGACAGATGCCACATTATAAATTATACAGTTGAGGTCATAAGTTTACATACCCCTTGAAGAATCTGCAAAAAAGTTCATCAATAGAAATAAAAGATTTCACATAACAGATGTTTACATAAAGTCCACAAGACACAATAATAACTGAATTTACACAAATGAACCCGTTCAAAAGTTTACATACGCTTGATTGGTGTAAATAACAATCATCCTGTTCAAAAGTACAGGATGTGAGTGAATCATGTTGCCTTCTTGAGCATCAGTGAGTGTTTACACCTTATGTAATAGTCGTGTACGAGTCCCTCAGTCGTCCTCAATGTGAAAAGACGGATCTCGACATCATATAGCCGCAGTTGGAAAGGGGCCAAATATGCAGAAGATGCTGGAAAAGTAAAGAATGTGCAGGACCTGGAGGATTTTTCTGAAGAACAGTGGGCAGTTTAAGTGCTCAGGACAAACACGGGACTCATGAAGAACTCTCACAAAACATCGAGGTAACGACACATAGTATTGAGAATCGAGGGTATGTAAACTTTTGAACTGGTGCATTTGTGTAAATTCATTTAGTATTGTGTCTTGTGGACTTTATGTAAATATCTGTTATGTGAAATAGCTTATTCAGGGCAGCAAAATAAACCAAATAAATGCCATTTTTATGATCGCTCTTGTTTTAAAAAAAAAAAATGTTTTTTAAAATAAATGATCAGAAAAGTCATGCATTTATTCTCAACTTATTATTCAAGAATGATATATCTGTGTGATAAGGAACAAAATGCGAATGTTATACGTATACATAACATTTAGTTTAAGTTTTAAATAAATAAATAAATAATCTCATGATGACATATCTTGTATTCGTATTTACACCTGCCAAATGTTTACACCTTCCTGACAATAAGTAAATTAATATCATTACGTAAATAGTATTTCATTGTGTAAATAACACATTGTGTTGTGTATTATATTTGCTACCTTTTTTTTTTGCCTTCTGCAGATGTGATCTCTGATTAATGTGACTAAACAGATCTTAGTAATGGACTCGGACTGCCAGCTCTTACAGTGCCACTAGCACAACAAGCGACCTTGTTGTGAAGAGAAATTGAGTGTTGTGTGCATAACAGAGATAAAGACAGAGGTGACTACTCAACATTTAATAACAGCCAGAAGAACAATCCTCTCTTTGAACGTCCTGTCCTCCTTGTCCAGCAGGCAAGAGTAGCGTCCTGCACTTTGCATTGTGGCGGTAAATCGTAAGAAGACATGATCAGATATCTCCAGATTTCTGCCTGCCTGATGGTGTATGCTTTTCTTCCCATCTGCTCTTCCACTGCTAATGCTCACTGAAAACAGCATCGTCCATGCTGTCCCATCGGCTGGCATCATCATGCATTTGACCTGCCTGGGGATTACGTGGAGTTCCTCAGAGCAGCGCAGGGTGACGTCAGCGCCTTCTTTCACCACGATCACATCGCTCCAGGCATTAACTAGAAAAAAAAAATCTGATTTATGAAGTGAATTAATGGAGGTCTGGTGATTTCATATTCACATTTATAACATTTCAGAAGGACCGTTGGATCAACCGGGAGGCAGGGTGGCTTAGTGGTTAGAACGTGCGCCTCACACCTCCGATGTTGGGGGTTAAAGTCCCGCCTCCGCCCTGTGTGTAAAGAGCTGGCATGTTCTCCCTATGCTTCAGGAGGGTTTCCTCCGGGTACTCCGGTTTCCTCCCCAGTCCAAACACATGCCTTATAGGCTGATTGGCATCTCTAAATTGTCCGTAGTATGTGAATTCGTCTGAGATGTGTGCCCTGTGATGGGTTGGCACCCCGTCCAGGGTGTCCCCCACCTTGTGCCCCAAGTTCCTTGGGACGGACTCCAAGATCCCTGTGCAGGAAAAGCGGTGCAGAAAATGGATGGATGGATCGACAAGGGACTCGATATTTTATTATTATTATTTTGAAATCCCACAGTTTTAACGTCCTTACATGAAATCATTGCCAGATATGTGTTACCTTGAAACCATTTCAAATAATGCAGGGTTTTGTAAGAGCATTTCTGCCATAGTTACTTATCAACTGAGAGAACTTTAAGTTCGTGCAGCAGTTGGCCTGGGAAGACTGGAATGAAAAATGGATAGCATGTGGACCCCCTCAAGCATCAATCTCTTTTTTTTTTTCCTTTTCTTTCTATAAATGACTTTAATATCTCACTGCCTGCCTTCCTGTCAGCCCCGTTTCTAACAACAGCTACATTCAGGACTGAAACCATTCCGCAGCACAATGTGACTCTTAAGCCAACTCTGAAAAAATAAGCAGGATTTTCTTGATTAGCTGCCATGGGTGTAAAAAGAAATAACATTTCTTAACAAACATGACAAGAACTTTAGATTTGAAACACAACAATAATCAATAAAGAGTCCAGTCGATGGCTAAAACAATCAGGCGTTTTAACATGTTTTACTTTGCTACCAAATATGGTTTTCTGTGCTACTGTGTTTTATCAGATGACGCAGTAGAGGTCTGTGTGAAGGGTTTCTTGGAATTTGGAGATTAAGAAATGAAGAAAGTCTCTGCGTCGTGTGACGGTTCGCCTGGGCAGCCAAGAATGAAAAATACATGTGCGTCCTTGAAACATTAATGTTTTTCTCCTCTTCTGTCACCAAATGGCGCTGTGAAAACCCTGCCGTAATACACCGTGAATGAACCTGAATTAACTCTTGAGACGCAATATAATTACAATTTCTGCATGTGAAGGGAGCCATAATTCACAAGAAATGAGAAAAGAAGACCATTGTTATAATCGCTGTAATTGTGCTTAAGAGTTATTTTGGAAAATCTGCACGTTAGTCAAGACTCATTGAAATTCAGTCCATTTACTCAAGTACGTTTCCACATCTATTTTTTCACTCCGTACTCCTTTTTGACATTCAACGGACACGATTACGATCCTCAAAACGCCACGAGACTTTTCTTTCCTTTTTATTCTGAGTAAGAGGTTTGTTTTTTGTTGGTGATACTGAGTCATACAGGATGAGATGCCTCATTTGCCTCCCACACAGACATGAAATATCAGCCTTTAAAATTCACCAGCAAAACTCAATCAAGTTTAATGTTCACTTAAAGGGGTAGTTCGCCCAAAAATCAAAATTCTGACATCAGTTCCTCACTCTCATGTCGTTCCAAACCCAGAAGACTTTCCATCATCTTCGGAACATAGGCGAAGGTGTTTTTAAATGAAACCTGGTAGATTTCTGTCCCTCCATTTACAGTCCAAGTAACCAAAACGCTCAAGCTCTAAAACGTTCATAAAGCCACCGTAAAAGTAACCCGTGTGACTCCAGTGTTAATCCCAATTTTATGAAGCGACACAGATGCTTTGTGTGCATGAAAAAAAAAATCAAATGAAGGCTTTATTCACAAGATATCTTCACTTCCACATAGCTCTCCGATGTGCGTTCACGAATGAATCACGACGAGTGCGTGTTGTGTCTACGCGAGAGCGGACAAACAAATGTCCAGAAAGATACTTTCATTATCTAACCAGCAAGCCAAATTCTACTTAGTTTTGCGTTAGCAAATAATATTTTATTTATTTTTACTCTTAAATACTTGAGCGCGTTTGAGTAATGTAACTCTAAGCACATATTATCTTTAAGCACATATTATCAAGTAGATTGTTGCCTCCCTACTTTTAATTGAGTGACATTTTGACACAGTCCCCATACTTTCATTAGTATGCTTACTCTGCCCTTGTTCCTAGTTTGGATAGCTAACAATATACACACAATGGAGAGTAGTTACAAATATAGCTACATATTCAAATAACAAATGCAGTAAAAGACAAGGTGTGTTAAAAACATTCAAATGTCTATTTTCTATTCAGGATTTAAGTACAGCAGTTGTAGTTGTACAGCTTGTCTAAAGGTAGTCATTTTAAATATACTAATCTTAATGCATGTCCTCATATTTTATCCTTATGCTTATCCTACACAGGGGCACGGGGAGCCTGGAGCCTATACCAGGGAACTCTGGATGGGATGTCAACCCGTCACAGGACACAATCGCACACACATTCACACACTACGGACAATTTAGAGATGCCATGTGCATGTGTTTGGACTTCGGGAGGAAACCGGAGTACCCGGAGGAAACCCCTGAAGCACTGCGAGAACATGGAAAGTCCATACACATGGCGGAGGCAGGATTTGAGCCCCAAACTCAGGAGATGCGAGGCAAAACAAGCTCAATTTTATTAACAAAATGATCAACTATTCAAGTTTTTCATGAAAAAAGGGATTCAACATACTTGATAGTAAATGTCCATCATTCTTATAAGCCTGTATTATAGTGTTGCAGATCTACAGTACAATGATATGCTCTTAATACATACACAAGATATACACTCTATAAAAGGTTCCTCGAGGGTTCTCATGAAAGTGATGGGTTCTCAGATTCCTACTTGGAATGCTTTCTAATATGGAGACACGGCTGTAGGCTGCATACAGTACAGATCCTTTAATGGTTCTCATAGAAGGATGAACCAAAAGGGTGAACCGTTTATTTGTCAGTATCGAGCTATAGATTTAACCTGCGTTATATTATTCATAAACAAGCGTTTTTCTTCATTGGTTTTCTTGTAAAATTGAACAGAATAACTTACCTCTTTGCGCTATAGATGGAACGACGAAACATTCACAAAAGCAAGCGAGAGTGAAAAGAAGAGGATAAGAACTCATACTGCTACATTCATCTAAGAGCCATGTACGATGGTTACTGGACATCATGTAGGAAGTGGTCCATACTACAGTTTGTGTGGGTGTGTGTGTGTGTGTGTGTTACTAAATTTGACATTGCCAAGGCAAGGCAAACTCTGACATTATGCCAGTATGCAGGATAACATGGATGTGAAAATTGCATACTCGAACACTCACACTCACAGTCACACTCACACAGGAAAACACATCAGTACTGTTAGGAACTGATAAACAGCAGGTTTTTTTTTTTTGCAGACGATAGAACACACACACACACACACACACACACACACACACAGAGAGATTGTAGAGTAGAAAATATCTTAGCGAAGGGTAAATACCTCAAAGATGGCAAATATATTCAATATTTTCATCATGAGATTATTATAAAACAAATGTGCGATTATTAGGACTATTTTGAGACAGAACTTTCGCAATAATGTCTAGAAATAGGCTTAATAATCTGATATTTGTTTCACAATCATCTCATAATCAGAAACATTAAATAAGCAAGAATTTTTTTTTTTCATTTTTCTCTCCCTAAGATTATTTCTGTGGTGCACAGACTGAAGTACATATCGACTGTTATTAACTTTCACTCCTTTTCCATCTGTTTCTGCTGAACTTTGCTCACACGTTGCCCACACAAAGAATACAAATAAGGGCGAAAACTGTGCACTAGGCAACTAGCATGTGTGTGTGTGTGTGTATCGTGTGTGTATGTGTGTGTATTTGGGCAATGACAAGCAAGCATGAGTGAGAATTTAAGGGTCTACATTATTGCATATCTGAACTAGCCTCTAGCTCGTGGGCAAAATGCCTCCATCCCTATAAAGGTCTTTAATTAAAACGAATAAAGTTATCACGCTGCTAAGCACTCGTACCCCCTAATTACCACTCAAGACCAGAGAATGAAAGGAGTGAAAGTGCTAGAAAATAGAGGATGAAAGCCAAGAGGGGAATGTGAAAGACAGATAGGAGAAAAGGGAATTAAAGAGAAAATTTCAGAGCCAACAAAGTAGGATAAGAGTAGTTAATGAGAGCCATGGCAGTGTAAATATCGTGATCCCTGTGTGAACAGTGAGGGAGAGTGAAGGATTAGCTATGATAGGCAAGAGACGCGCCAGGCGTGCAGTGAAATGATTGAAATGAAGTCCCTCGGTTGTTACAGTAATCAACTGCAGGAGCATGCATTCGGTTTTTGACATCATCAAATGTGCAAATTACCAACACGTGAGATTTTGAAATGGAAAATAAACAGGCTTCGCTCGTTTCACAGGAGTTTGGTAACCTAAGGTTAAAAAGATTACGGTTTTTCCCAACAAGCCACATGTTAAAGAAAAGAAAAAAAAAATGTGTGACGTTTAGACATGGAAACTAGTTTGTTATCTTCTTCCGACACTCTTCCTATGCAAATCTATAAAGAACATGGACACTTATTCCCATTACCAGCAGCAGATAAAGGAAAAGACTCTACACTGCAAAAAGAAAAGTCACCTTAAACAGTAAAAATATCTTGAATATAGTCCAATTTATGTAGGATTTCTTATTTTATGATTATTGAACCTATTTCTGGACATTATTGCTCATTTCAAGCTTGTAGATTTCTCTCTTTTAGCCTCGATAACGATTTTGCTTCTTTCTAGAAATAAATGCTTAAAATGAGCTGCCAGATAGAACAAGACGATTACAAGTGAGTACTGATGAATTGAAATAGGTTTAATGATCTTATATTCGGTTTATTGTAACCTTATAATATGAAATCCAGAGATGTGGAGGAACTCTTAAGAAATCCTTTCAATCCAGACGCCTTTACACAGCGTGCACATCGGCCCTGCTTAGAATGCACAGGGCTTCATCACACTTCCCCATTATTTGCTCGATAATTTTCTCACAGGTGCTGTA